TACATATACACACACACACACATGCACAGTTTACCAGTGTGCCAATGTGCTTCAGACAACTGCATCAAAACAGCGCACAGGACAATTTGACTTCTCCACTCACTTCTCATCGATCGCCGGCATGGCCTCTTAAATAGTCAGGCTGAAGCCTGTCAGGCCATCACGGGCTGTGACCCGCGTACGCCTGGCTTACGAGGCGGTCTGCAGCCGTGTCGGTTGCCTAATTTACCCGGCTGGTAGGATCGAGTGCGAGTGTGCTCACGTTAGTCTGTTGGCCGTTGTTTGGTGATGCGTCAACGCCGATTCTGTACGTGAGTTTGCTGCTTTGCCTATCCATCTAGTCGGTTGCCCGCGTTTATCTGAGTTTGAGCATGTGACCTGGCTCATGTGATAAGGTAATCGTGTGAGGAGGGCATTTAACGTAGATTTATGACATAGGCCCACAGACAGTCATGTCGATACATGACTGGACGGTAAGTCGCAAGTGAATTGGTCTATTTGACATTCCAAAAGAGATCGAGTGAAACAATTGTTTAGAGTTATGAATATCAGAGTATAAGTATATACATAGTTTGACCTCGTTTTCGCAATTTGGTCGTGTTGTCAGGGCGACCTAGTTGAATGTAACTTGTCAGAAAGCCTCTTCTATGGCAATTATGATAGTTCGAGGCATCAGACTCTGGATGGCAGCATAAGGGCCCACCCAAATATGTATTTCCTTCCACCCTATTTGACGATATTGGGAAATAATTGTCATTCACACCCTGTCGATAAGTGTTTTCAACAAAAACTTTCCTCAATCGCCTCACTTCCTTCTCCCGATGATTAACGTATGCAGGACAAAAGGGCCTTACTAGCATGAATTTCATAACTCCTACTTTAATCCCATTAATATCATTTCGAAAGAAACTTATAAAGAACCCCGCATTTGTGGATTTCCTATGTACATTCATGCTCAATTTGTTCACCATTTTGGTAACTAAGACATCTAGATAAGATTAATTAGCATGCATTTCTAATTGCATGGTGAACTTGCACTTCCCGTCGATCTTACTCATTAACATTACGAAGTCTTCTAGGCTTTCCTTGCTGTGCTGCCAAACGGCAAAGCAAACGTTCATATAACAAACCAATAATTTAGGGATAAAATATGCTTCCTGAATAGGGCGCCATGTATTTATTTGCTAAAATTGGTGGCAAACGCGATCCGATGCCTAAATTTTGTAGCTGTTCGTATAGTTTACCATTAAAGGTAAAATATATACAGTGCATTGCCAAATTTATTAATATAATTATTGACTTATTTTCTTAAAATCTTTAGGTGTTGATCGCAAAGCCTGTATGACATCGTCTACAGGAATGTTAGTATACATAGAATCAACATCAAAGCTTTTGAGAAACTAT